AGAGAGAGAGAGAGAGAGAAAGAGAGAGAGAGAGACAGAGGAAGAGAGATAGAGAGGAAGAAAGAGAGAGAGAAATAGAGAGAGGGGGAGAGAGGGGGTGACGGAGAGAGAGAGAAAGAGATAGAGCGCGCGCACGAGAGAGAAACACGCTAAAGTTATCAAATAGCACCCAATGTGGGCACTGAGTGAGTCTTCTCACGGCGGAGCGGGGCGGAGCGAGCGAGCAAGTTGCTGTTTGAGCGCCGCGGAGGACGGCGAGCGGTGGCACTGTGCGCACACCGAGAGCACGAAAGAACCACTTTGTGTGTTGTGTGTGTGTTGACACGAGAGAGTTCAGCCCCCTCGCGCGTTCGTTCGTCCGTCCACCACCACAGACCACAACAGATTGGAAGTAGGAGAACACAGGCAGAGAGAAGTGTGGCTTTAGTGTCAGAGCGTTGTGTGTGTGTGCTGCACGGGCCGGCCCCCTGTCTTCTAGCCTACCTTGCTTGTTTGTGCTAGTGGTTCCTTTTGTTGTGATCAATTCTCTTTCTCTTCTAATTCGGAACCGCCTGGGATCGAAGGCGACGCTGTGTGCTTTTTTTCATTCTTTCTTTTGAGAGAGATAGAGAGAGAGACGAGGAAAGCGGGGATGTTTCTACTGGTCTCTGTATTTTCCATGTCCATTGTTGTCACATAAGTGATTAGTCATAGCGTAGGATGGTTAGTAATTCCAGGTCTGGAGTTGCGGCGACAAATTGACAAATTGTTGATGCGACGGTCAAGTTCTTCCTAGTATCCCCAGACGTCTAATTCTAATCAATAACGTGTTTGGAAAGTCTGTCAGGATTTTATTCTCATCGAGGTGAGTGATAATGTAGGCTTCAGAGTGTCAACAGTTTATTTTCTTTGTGGATTGTTCGCGTGAAATGTGTTGTTGTGTGTTCAATATTCTGGATTAATCGGATTACTTCTGCGGATGGACAAAGAGTTGTGAGGACGGCGATGGCTTCTTCCAGTAGCTCCAACAGTATTGTTGAGGACTGGTTGCGATCGGTGAATCTCGTGCAATACACCCAGTCTTTTATGGACAACGGTTACGACGATTTGGAGGTTTGTAAGCAGATCGGGGAGGATGACTTAGACGCGATTGGCGTGTCCAAAGAAGAGCATCGAGAGAGACTTCTGCGAGCTGTGAAAGTCCTCAAGGAAGAAGGTGGCACCGCTGTGTATTTCACTTTGGAAGAGTGCGACACATGTCAGAGCGGAGACGAGACGGAGGTCGGCGAGGGCAATAATGACGACGAAACGTGCTCCTCATCGTCTGCTGTTGCTGCTCTTGCTCTGGCTGAGGCTTCTGGTGGTGGTGGTGCTGTCGTTGGTGGTTCTAGTGGTGCCGGAGTAGCAGGCCTAGGACTAGGGATGCATCCAGCTGGAAGTGGCTACCGTGTGGATGCCTACGACATGGGGAAGACCACTTTGTTGTCGTACCCCAAGGTTCAGCTCAAGCTGATACTGCGGGATAGGCTGGTGGAGAATGGCATCGACTTGGCGAGCCCACCCTACACCAACTCGGTAAGTCACATAATCATGTCTCCATACGGCCACTTCTATAACTGCGACATCAATGTTTCTACACAGTGCGACCATGGTACTAATCTCTTGTCTCCAAGTTGCATGCCATGCATTGACACTTTTGGCTTGGGAAAGCCCAGAAAAGTAATCCCCCAATCCCCCCTCTTCTCCCTCCCTCTCTCTCTCTCTCTCTCTCTCTCTCTCTCTCTCTCTCTCTCTCTCTCTCTCTCTCTCTCATCTGCCTTACAAACCCAGACATCTTTGGGTGTCACAATTCTCTCCTTCCACTCCCCCCTCCGAAATCAGGTAAAAACTGATTAATTATATTACCAACAAGTCATGGACTCTCAAAGGGTTCATAATGGGACTCATTCTGTTGAAGTAACTGGTTGTTTGGGATGGGAAATAGACGTAGATGTCCAGCATTTAAGTTATTGACCTACCATTTTGATTTTGGGGTACCAATGTTTCTGTTGCTGCTGTTGACATAACTGCTTCCAACTACACTTGTCACACAAAAAAGCACTGTAAGTTGCCCTTCTCAGGTGTCATAGTCACATACACGGTCGGTCAGCTTGATGGATGGCTCCCAGCATGACTCTGGTACTTATCTCTTACCTAACCCAATTCTCCCTTCCTCCCTCCGTCTGTCTCTCTCTCTGTCTGTCTGTCTGTCTGTCTCTTCTTCTTCTTCTTCTTTTTCTTTTTCTTCTTCCCCAGTCTCTCTCTCTCTC